GAAAGAAAATCAAAGAAAATCTAATATAAGATCAAATATATATGCAGATAAAAGCAAGAACGTCTGGCTGCAGGAAGCCAAGGATAGATATCCAACTTTTGGGGTGTTTTGGGTGTTTTGGGGTGTTTTGGGTGTTTTGGGGTGTTTGGGGTGTTTTGGGGTGTTTGGGGTGTTTTGGGGTGTTTTGGGTGTTTTTGGGTCTGTAGATGAGTGTTTTGGGGTCTCTAGCTGAGTGTTTTGGGGTGTTTTGGGGGTTCTGGTTGTTTTGGGGTCTGATCCTCTCTGTGTGTTTAGTGTGTGAGAACGGCTGGAGGTGCTGCCTCATCAACAGAGACCGGAAGATGCCCACCGACTACATCAGGAACGGGGTGCTGTACGTCACAGAGAAGTAAGCCCAAACCCGACCTCTGACCTCTGACCCCTGCTTCCTCACCCTAAACCTGACCTCTGACCCCAGCCTCCTCAGCCTAAACCTGACCTCTGACCCCAGCCTCCTCACCCTAAACCTGACCTCTGACCCCAGCCTCCTCAAACCTGACCTCTGACCCCAGCCTCCTCACTCTAAACCTGACCTCTGACCCCAGCCTCCTCAACCTCTGACCCCAGCCCCCTCACCCTAAACCTGACCTCTGACCCCAGCCTCCTGACCTCTGACCCCAGCCTCCTGACCTCTGACCCCAGCCTCCTCACCCTAAACCTGACCTCTGACCCCAGCCTCCTCAAACCTGACCTCTGACCCCAGCCTCCTCACTCTAAACCTGACCTCTGACCCCAGCCTCCTCAACCTCTGACCCCAGCCCCCTCACCCTAAACCTGACCTCTGACCCCAGCCTCCTGACCTCTGACCCCAGCCTCCTGACCTCTGACCCCAGCCTCCTCACCCTAAACCTGACCTCTGACCCCAGCCTCCTCAAACCTGACCTCTGACCCCAGCCTCCTCACTCTAAACCTGACCTCTGACCCCAGCCTCCTCAACCTCTGACCCCAGCCCCCTCACCCTAAACCTGACCTCTGACCCCAGCCTCCTGACCTCTGACCCCAGCCT